GGTCAACATCTAATATGCTCTAGAACGAACCATAATTTAACGTTATATAATTTATGTTTGCACTTTAAAAAGAAGAAAATCGTTTCATAGGCATAATGTGCATTTAATACGCGATAATTCTTGCATTCATTGCTTCTGTTAAGAGAAACAGTAGATTTTCAAGCATCATCATTAATAACTCTTGACCAATTAAGCAAAGGAATTTTATATTATACATCTTATTTGCGTCATTGAAACATTGCGACATCTGTTGCTGTTTCTTTTTTTAATTTCTTTTGATTTAAGTGTTGACTGGGATAACAACATGGGATAACATGCCAGCTTATTCGTGTATTTAGTGCAAAAATTATTAAGCTTATAAACAGTGACTCGGCTTGCATATTATGTAGATCTGGGATTAAATATTCCCTCATTATTTTCTGGAAGCAAGACTGTGAGACTGCGTTCAATAGAGTTTGAATTTTGTCCGTCGCTTCAGTTGTATTTTTCAACTGAAATTCATGACATGGGTAATTGTCAAACGATTGTTTTTGTTTTTCATTGTTGTTATATAATATTATTCGTAATTGTATTAGTGTGAGGTTTACCATCTTGATGTTGTTCAAAATGAAAACGGCAAAAAAACAACAACAAAGAAATGTATGCGAACCTAGAATTCGTGAATTAGTGCGCTATGCCAAGCAATGGTTCCCATTGATGATATTAAGTTTACTTTACGGTAATTCACCTTGTCCGTTAAGTGAATATAGAAGGGAAATTTCAGAAGTTTACAAAATTATTCAGATTATATTATATTGCTGGTATATTGCTGATACCAAATATTGAATCAGTGGAAAACTTGTATTGTAGATGTTGGGACAAATACAAAAATAATATGGTCACTGCCATTATATAATCTATTCTCATTATTATAAGTACTCTGCCTCAATGATATTTATGATAAAGAAGTGCAGTCATTAACCAGAAACAAATTAATCATTTGTCTTACATCTTGCTAAACGTGCAGTTGCACTATAAGCTCGGTAATTCAGTAATAAAACATGTCCGAACTTCAGCAACATGCAGACGTTGCGGGAACATTTATGTGTTAATAATGATAATACTTCCTGTAATCTCAGTATTTTATTTCTCTTAGCCGATTACCGTTCTTATTAGGAAATATGTGCTTTTTTTATTCCCAATAAATGCATCTATAATAACTACTTATGCTTCTATAACAACTGAATGAATACAAAATTAAGCCATCTGGCAATAAGCAAATGTAGTGTCATATTAAGGAAATATATCAGAAGAAGACGGTGAAGAAGGAAAAATTATATTTAGCATGTACAGTTAAATGTACATCAAACTAATTAATACATTTACATTGAAAAGCAGTTTTTCACAGTGAATATTGCATATAACATTCAGTTTTTGAAATATTGAGAATAAGCTCAAATGTTATTAAATAACATATGCAATACATGTATATTGTATAGAAAGAACAAATTACAAGCCATTTCAAAGTAACAAAGTATTTAACAGTCAAAAATGAGCATGGAGAGCCTATCATAATTATGAATGCAATAAATCATCTCTTTTCACCTTTAGATAAATGGATACATTTCCTGAGAGCATAATATAATCAAAGCACAGAAGGCGGGCGCTGAATTTATTTGGGTCTTAGAATATCAGAAAGGTGAGGGTTGTGAGATTATAAACCAATTTTTTTTGTATAGTGCTACATTTGCTGTTACTGTAGTAAATTAGCTATAAGGCTAATTGCAACACTGATATTCAATTCAATGTTTATATAACCATCTGCAAATTATTTTCATTTACCTTAACACTTATAAAGTTAAAGAAAATGAATTTCGAAACCACATTCAGATATGCAATTTCATATTTCACTTCCAAAACCTTTGTGACTGTCATATAAATACAAACTATACAGTGAATACCGACTTATTGTTATTTTTTAGAAATGAACTACTTTTCATTCTTCATTACCAACTAGTAACATGTAATTTTGCAAAGACAAATGTAATAATAAGTTGATAAAGATGTATGTATGTTACATGTACCAACAAACTTTATCACACTTCATAGATACAATGTATTTTGAAGAAACCTTAAATACACATATACACCGTGTTTTTGGTCAACTTTGTTATAGCAACCGTTATGATCTTATTCTATACACAAATGAATGGATATCTTAAGTAGGACATGGCATATGAAATATTGCAATCAATGAATAATGAAACATTTAAAGAACACAGCAGCTCTGAAATTAGCAAAAATGCATTATACTGAATATTTCATCATGTTGATTGTCATGGAAACATGTGGGCTTGCGCAAAGCAAAGACTAAAGCTATCCAGGTGTCACTTGACATGTACAATATTAAAGCCTGGGCATTATATTATAAGCTTCAATAGTAATATATGCAAGATTAGCAATATTATCATCTGAGATGCAGGCATTTAATAAGTTGAATTATCCGTTCACACATATCCATACAAATATCATTTATACATATACACATGTATATACGACAATGCAAGCAGTAGTGTGTTATTTGACATAAATACCCCTAACGTTCTGTAATGTTAAATTATTGAAACTTTATTTTTATTTTTTAAAAACTAAGAGCTTACAAGAAATGTTTCCAAAGCCAGCCTGCTAAGATATTTGTAGAATTAACTTTTTTCTGAAAGTAAGTATCTAAAATAAAGTAATGTTTAAATCACCTTTTAAGTATGAACAAACAAGGGATTTAATCGCCGTCTTAAACGTAACACTTTGTGTAAACGAGTACTTTGTTTGCAAGGGTTATGCTCTTTGTCTTTAAACAACTGAATGGGAAGAAGTATTCAGTTAAAGTTTTGTTTCCATTCAAACGAACGTGTTGCTATTTCGACGGTGTAACCTTGCGTCCATCGTTTCTTCGCACCATCGGCCTCTGATAGAACTAAACCGCCAAAGCGACAACACAATATGCCGAAGTGACGAGTCGATATACTAAAGCGACGAAACGATACGCCGAAGTGACGAAATGATACGCCGAAGTGGCGAAACGATACGCCGAAGTGACGGAACGATTCGCCGAATTGACGAAACAATAAGACGATGGAATAGAGCGACGAGACAACGTGTTTCCGTTTCCTCATGTCCCTTGAGCACATCGATCGTCTTGTTGCTTTGGTGAATCGTTTCGTCGCGCCAGGCGTGTAGTTCACCAGAGGTCGCGGTACGAGGTAACGATGTTCCTTACGGAACACCTTGGAAGACCGTGATTTTGTCAAAGCAGACCGAAATGGAGCTTGCCATACATCAATTTTCGCATAAACAAGACAAAGATTTCAACAAGATATAACAACATATAGACTTGAAACATATCTGAAACTAGGTGTACGGACATGATCCCCTTTGGACAAAATCTTCTTCGCATACCCGGACAAATTCCCCTCCATGGGTGGACATAATCCCCTTAATGTTTTTGCAAGGCTGGACAAACTCCCCTTACCTACCCTACTTGTTTCATAGGTTTGTAATGTATTATTATGCTCCATAAAAATTGCTGAATTATGTATTATTATGCTCTATAAAAATTGATGAAAAATGAACTTTTTTTTTTTATTTATAATTATGTATCAAGTTAACCTTTATAATTATACAAGCTTGATTTTTTTTATTTGTTCAGATCAATTATCAACCAAATTATCATTGAAAACGAGTTAATTAGTTTAGCAGTGTTCATTATAATTGTGTAAATAATCAACTGCATAACAAATATATTTGATAAGGCAATTTCTTTAATTGTTTTAAATTGATAAGTATGAAAAACATTTTAATTAGTTTAACAGTGTTTATTTTAATTGTTTCAAATGATGAATTGTGCAACACTGTCCATCTAGCACAGGCCTTAGCAGTATAGAAGTCATGTTGAAACCAATATTGCCGAATAAAGGACTAGCAATCACCACACAGCATAATGCAGTATGTCGCTCTCATACCCACTCTATAAACAGAAAATTCATCCGAGGGGGAGGGGGGTCCTAGGTAGTAATTTTATTGAGGGGATTTTGTCCCCTTTAAAATTTCACACCTGAAAGGGATTATTTCCACCCATGGATTGGATTATGTTCAGATATACAAAAATCATGAAGGGGATTTTGTCCAAAGGGGTTTTGTCTGACATTCCTGAAACTATATTTAATGAAGTAGACTTTTAGTCTAGACTTAGGCAATGTCTGTTTTAACCTTTGAAATATGTGTTATTATATATGATTATGTACATTTGATACCAAACTTTCTAATTGAAGAATGTTCATATGCATGTTTAGTTTCATAAATTCTTTTCATTAAGAATATGTATGATTTGCACAAATGTATGTATGAATGAGACTGAAAAAAAAATATAGATAGATGATTATATAAACAAATTTTACTCCAATGTTATCAAAATGGTTAATATTATTTTATCAATTTTCATTGAGAGAGGGACTACACACTAGATGTTGTATTATGTATATTGTACATTTTTATACATGCATATATTTCAGATTCATAAATTTAATATACTTATGAATTTTATTGTTATCAAAGTCGTCTATAAGCATCAGGTTTACTACTGAAATAATGTTGGTCCTTAGAAAGAGATAGTTTGAACATTTGAGTTTCCTTCATATAGATATCTGATACTGTTTGAAAATGTTAACATATTACCGTGAGTTGTGAAAATGATTCCCAAAATATTTGTACAAACGTGTTGGAAATAGAACGTGCGAGAGTGTACAACCGGGATTGGCACTTTGGTATAAAAAAAGCCATTTTATAATTTAATCACTTTAAAAATGTTTGGAAGAGAACGCAGGTACTAATATTCTACTAAATAACGTAATAACAAATAGATTGTTAACACGTATAATGAAACGGACATATTTTCAACAATGAATTCTTTCATTGATAATAAGGTGAAATGAGAATGAAAATGTAAAATGAATGTCAATTTATAATTATAAAGGATTTTTAATATTCCAACACGCGTCCTGCTGCCACCACTTGTATATATTTTCCACGGACTTTATGTTGTCGTTAACATTATTCAGTTTTTCACACAAGTTACAAAATGATGACTGTACCATTTCCTGCTCTTTATATACCCGATAGGTATCTTTACGTTTCAAGAAGTTGATATACTCAGTCTTATTCGCACCTAACTCATTTAGATAATTTGATAATGCGGCTGCGTTTTCAAAATTGTTTGCGTCTACATAAGTACCATTGGGCAGAAATTTGGTATAATCACACCCACCTCGAACCACAAGTATGATGTCCAGTTCAAACCAGTTATAAACTTTTTCTGTTAAATAATCAATACAATACGTATTTTCAAAAGCAAGGTAAAACTTGTAACGTGTCCAATTTTCAGTAGAATAATAAGTTTTACGTGCGATCTTATTTTCATTACAACCTCCAAACTGATCTACTTTGATATTTTCTCTCATCTTATCAACATACTTTTCTCTTTTAGACTTTGTTGAGCAGTGACTTACAATCCAAAAAACACCTTTATCCTTTTGTTTATATAAAGCCGAGTAATCCTTGTCTAAGTCTTTATTTATATGTAGCTCATTTCTCCTTTTTCGTCCGACATTATTTAGATAATCAGTATAATTTTGCTCATCATTTGACACAATTGTGCCATAAAGAAATGGTATATCAGAATCTGTTCTATATGTCATGGTCCAGTTAAAATAGTTTACGAACATTTCATTGGAAAGATCTGTCATTTGTATATACAAAGGAGGCTCGTTATTTAAAAACACGAAGACTTGATTACAGTCTCTACGAGTTGGAAGATGTTTAGGCATTCTGTTACCTTGGATAAGGACTGCATCAGCATCTAATATAGTGCCATTAATTTCTGCCGTCATCCGATGTACATTACAATTAGTGACGGAACACACGCTCATGTCTACCGCGTCTATCTCTTTTGACAGCCTAATCTGACGCGGAAAATAAGCAATAATTTTTATTTGATCATTCACTGTAATGCGGTTTGTCTGACTGTCCTTCCCTTTATTCGAAGTTCTGAAATTCTTTAAAGTACGTGAATCATTTATGTTATCTTCATCGCGTTCTACAGATTGCTGCTTTGTATTTGAAAGCTCCGTTGCTTGTCGGAAGAGATCGTCCAGAGTTTTATGCAGATCACTGTCCTCGGGGTTCCTTTCTAATAATTCCTTTACTCTATCGATCACATTTTGCCGTTCAGTTTGAAATCGTAAAATTTCTGGTTCCATCATGAACGTAATCATATAAGACAAACCGAGACAAATGAAAAATAAAAGTATCGCTCTTTTTATTACATAATTACTCGTACATTCTCTGCTGGTGATCATAATGAAATATCCCAACATATAAATATAATTCAGAACGGCACAAGAATATTATATTGATACTTTATTAGATTAGATGGGGATATATCCCTTATTTCTGTAAGAATATGCAAATAATTAGCTTAAGACGTTTCTGCATCAATTAACTGAGTAGTGTGACAGATGTTAATCATGAGGAGGTATCATGACAATGAAAAGGGCAATAAAAAATAAAATATGTAATTGTACCTCTCAGGCACTGTGTGGGATTTCTGTTATTATCATCCCGTATTAAAACAGACTGATGGTTCAATAACTGACGAAATATTTAGAGTTCTGGTACCAAGTGGGCATCAGGAGCCCGAAGCAATGATTGCGCTTTGTGTCTTAACGTTATATGTACAGCCGTTGATAGCGATATTATTATACGATTTGTATTTTAATGTTGCTTGACAGTATAAGTTTTGAAAAACATAGACTACGTCAATAAATATGTCCAAATAAGTGAGAAAATGTAAATGTTAGTCTGAAAGTAACGTAGGTACCAGAGGGAAAAACACGTACTAACTTTGAGAAACCGTATCTTCGCAATTGTTTGTTTCTTGTGAAAAATATCATGCAATTGGACAATTGGGTTATTAACTATTGTTCAAAACCTATTTTGTCAATGTAAAATCAACGTTAGCGTTGTTGAAATTTCCACCCCTCAAATGTTCCCTATTATTGAGAATGGGCGTTGTGCGTGTTTCAATCATTTCTTTCTACCTCCACTTCTACAGGAGAAAGGAATTTTTGTGCGTGTTTTGGCATATCTTAGGAAATTTTAGGTAATTTTATGGTATAAGGATCACAAGTGTAATTTGATAACGTATCACGTGATTTATTAAATCATTTAAATATATTATCTATAATTACCATTACAAGGCTCTAAATATTCATGAAAGATAGCGTGAATCTAGAGGTGAGCTGATTTAATACAAGTCATTTTATTCAGGGGTTTGGCCTCCATGAGCTTGCATGTAGTGATGAAAAATATGATACAGAGCGTATGCATAAATTCAACAACAAAAAATAACAATAAGTTACGCCGGCGATTACTAGTTAATTATCCGCTTTGTCTTTTTATTTTGATGCTATTTCACTTGAAAATCGAAAGGAATTTTAATGACATTTTTCTAAATTAATCTTAGTACTGCAAATAGCAAATATCCTTTCTTGATATATCTTATGAAATATTTTAATGAAATTTATCAACAGTAAAATTATATTGGTTCCATTATTATATGGTTGTAACATAGAATGTCCCTGTTATTTAATACACATGAATAATGTACGTAATCAGAATACAAGTAGCAATGTTTTTGTGCATGCGTCATTCCCTTTTAAGACAATTAATTGCCATATTTATTTCATACAAGCATTTTGGATATTTTTTTATTTTAAGCATTAATGTTTGCATCAGATATATAGATGGCTTTACACACTTTAATAACAAAATCTACAAAATTAAGTGTGAAATCTGATACTTACGGTACTTAAAGCTTTTACGTGGTTTTGGGGCATTTTCAGCAAAATATAATTAATATGGTGCAGTTTTTTCGATATAAATGGTTAATCTAAATTTCCCTTTTTGTTGACAACTGTAATTTATATAAATACATTTACATTCATTTTACTGGTCATTTTCAAAGGTGGCAATGGTCAAAACATAATATATGAGTCAGTCTCCCTTGAGCATATAAGAGGTTATTCATGTATACGGTTTTTAGAATTAGAATTCATTGCATGTAAGATATTTCCTTAGAATCTGAATAGCTTTTTGTGCATTCCTAATCCAGAGAATTAACCAACAGTGTAGCTTGACAACTGATGCAAAAGTGAATACAAAAAATTATTTTAACTCCTTTTAATACATTCAGGGTGTTTCACATTTGGTGGATAATGATGCATTACAAGATTCGTAGGTATACAACCAAGCAAGAATTAAACTATCTAATGCATTTAAGTGGTCTTAATTAAGCTTTTAAAAGTGCGTAAGCATTGAACTCCTTGTCTATAGGTGGTAAATGCGAGTTCTATGCGCCATATTTTTTTCTACTCTCATACAAAAGGGCCGATGTGAATGAAAATTATGTCACAAATGAAAACAGTAGTTTAGCGTGACTTAAAGCAGTACGCGCTGTATCAAAAGTTTGATTTCATACTGATAACAGATTGAAGAAAATATGCAGAACCTCATTTTAATACACACAAGAATGATTCAAATGCACATACATAAGCCCACTGTTAGGAACATAATCAGATGCCTTTTTATGGAACAGAAGTATTGATGTTAACGTAATTTTTTGTACGTCTGTAATTGCGCAAATGTCTGCAGTTTTTTATGTGCCCGCCGTAAACTTAAAGTGTATTTTCCCGGTCATTCAGTACATCTGATTTTATACAATCTAATGTTGAAGAGGAATCAGCTTCGGTAAATGTCCCTCGTTAACCTAACATACATCCGACAAATCTGTCCTGAAATGTTCACATTATCTTCTCCTTTCCACCGTGCATCTTCCTTTTGACCAAACTCGATATTTGTTGAAAGTAGATCTAGTCACTTCAAACTAGAACATCGCTCAATGCTACTATCAACAATTGATGGTAAGTCAAGGCATAAATATTAAAAATGTTCTAAAAAGTCTTATCTTACATGCAAAAAAATCTTTTAATTTCATGATGCTTTTAAGTCACTTCGCGTAACGTCATGCGTTCTTTTTCATGATGTCATTACATCATGACGTCACTGTACTAATGTTAAAATTTAGTTCTGTAAAATTTCTTGAAATTTGTTACATTTTCAACACAAGTATGCAGTTATTTACTTGCTTCTCCTAAAGAAGCAAAATTTACATACGTCAGAATTTATTCCTGTTGATAATTCTATTTATTTTATGCTTTTCAGTGGATTACTGATTTATCTGTGAAAATTATATTTGATAACTTGATAGTGAAAATTATCAAAATATAACTTTACACTACTACTTTTTAAGACTTTCCTGAATTTTATTTTCGCTGAAAATTCTGACAATGTCAGGCTGTTTAAAGAAAAGTAAAGCTGAAATTGATAAATAACTTAAATGTCAAAAGTAACAAAAAGAAGAAAACATACTTAATTCTATTCATTCAAATTACCAATCACCAAATATAAATAAAATTTCATCTTACACACAAACAAACAAATATCCTCTATTTAGGTATGACATATTATCTCCATCCGCATTCAAATCAAGTCCGACTACAGTACAGTGAAAATTATCAATTAGAGCTATAATTTCACTTTGAAAATTATCAAATATGATATCCATTTCCAGTTTTCCACTGCAAATCATGTAATAAATGGTGACAATTTTGTCGATGACGTGATGATGGATTCAATAATGATGATGTCATTGATTCATCTTTGATGCTCTGATATAATTTCAAAAAAGTGTTACTCATTGACCAATTGCATGAACCATCGCTGTTACTTATTAGCAATTAGCATATTTATAGTGATTTAGTATTGAAGTCAAAATTTTACTTTGTTTACAATTCGCTACCATTACGGAAAAAATCACATTCAGCGCTCGTTTTTTTTACATGTGATAAGAATTTAACATGCTCTTAAACCATGATGCAAATGGTATAAAACTTTTGTAAATCCTTTCGAAAGAAGAACAAAAGACATTATAACTTGGGATAGTTTTAAGGTCAGTTTGATGTGCAAAATATAGATTGTATTACTGGGGGATATTTGATATTTCTGTCTAGACTGTTTATGTTTTATAAATGAATTCAAGATAAGTAATCACGCATGTTCTACAATGACTTCTTTACTTTGCTAATCTCCCTTACAAACAACTCGTTACTCGCTTCAGTCGATATAAAATTATATATTATGTCGATTCCTAAATTACATCTAAAGCTTTAGCCAAACTGTTGCGCCGGCGTCGGGATGGGTAAGATAGCTCCAAATCCTCCATCAAGAAATAAAGATTCAATTCTGGCCCTGTACCTCTGTGTATGACAAAGTTCCTTTAGTGAAAATCATTGTCATTATTAGTTGATAAAATCCATGCAGAAATGACAAAATAGACGCATATCATATTTTGTTTGTTTTTATCGAGCTTAATTAAGTCATGCCATAACTATGAAACCTCCGGTGACCTGCCGTGCTTCATATCATGCACAAATTTGCCCCTGAGTAAAACCACTCCTTGTATAATCTCGCAAAAGTTTATTTTTATAGAGTAATATAAGTATAAAGATACAAGTCCTAGCATTACTTCGCTAGTGTATATTATTCCAATCCAGTTACCTCTCTGGCGTGGGTTCGAACCCCTGGAGATGCTCTTGTAGTTTAGCGCGGAGGAAGGTAGTCTAGTACTGGTGTACATGTAACTCTCCAGGAACGATGGTTAGGAATCTACCCGCCTATATGACTGAACTATTGTTGGTAAAAGGCGTAAAATGAAACAAACAAACAAACATAGATATAAAAAAATCTATACTTAAAATATGACTTTCTGTCATGCGACATGAAATGTGTCATTTCATTAAGACACGTTAATATTACTCGAGACACAAGCTGGTGTGTAGTGCATCAATTTTAGATATAAATTATATTGTGATAAACATCAAAGTCCTCTACAACTACATGTACTAAGTTCACAATTATTATTGTAATTATTTAATGTTCTTTTATTTTATTGTATTGCCACTCGTACAGAGAACGGGGCAAAGTCTTGGTAAAATTTAAGATTAATTTGAGTTATTACCCTTTATCGTGATCAGTGACTATTTATAGTGCTTACTTTATATGCTTTTTAACAATAATGTGAAATGCATATTATTTGGACATTTTTTAAAAATGCATTAACTGATAAGAATGTTGAAATGGAATGTAAAAAAAGAATATTCATTATAAATTAATTCAAAATTTATTTTTTCTAATCCTCCAACACGCGTCCTGCTGCCACCACTTGTAAATATTTTCCACGGACTTTATGTTGTCGTTAACATTATTCAGTTTTTCACACAAGTTACAAAATGATGACTGTACCATTTCCTGCTCTTTATATACCCGATAGGTATCTTTACGTTTCAAGAAGTTGATATACTCAGTCTTATTCGCACCTAACTCATTCAGATAATTTGATAATGCTGCTGCGTTTTCAAAATTGTTTGCGTTTACATAAGTACCATTGGGCAGAAATTTGGTATAATCACACCCACCTCGAACCACAAGTATGATGTCTAGGTCAAACCAGTTATACACTTTTTCTGTTAAATAATCAATACAATACGTATTTTCAAAAGCAAGGTAAAACTTGTAACGTGTCCACATTTCAGCAGTACGATACATTTTCTGTCCGATCTCGTTGTCATTACAACCTCCAAACTGATCTACTTTAATATGTTCTCTCATCTTATCAACATACTTTTCTCTTTTAGACTTTGTTGAGCAGTGACTTACAATCCATAATACACCTTTATCCTTGTGTTTATATATAGCCGAGTAATCCTTGTCTAAGTCTTTCTTTTTATGAAGCTTATTTCTCCTTTCTCGTCCTACGTTATTCAGATAATCAGTATAATTTTGCTCATCATTTGACAAAATTGCACCATATGGAAATGGTATATCCGAATCTGTTCTGTATGTCATAGTCCAGTTAAAATAGTTCACGAAAATAGCACTGGAAAGATTAGTCATTTGTATATACAAAGGAGGCTCGTTATTTAAAAACACGAATACTTGATTAGAGTCTCTACGAGTTGGAAAATGTGTAGGCATTCTGTTACCTTGGATAAGGACTGCATCGGCATCTAGAAGAGTACCATTAATTTCTGCCGACATCCGATAAACTTTACAATTAGAAACGGCACACACTCTCATGTCAAGCGTGTCTATCTCTTTCGACAGCCGGTGCTGGTGCGGAAAATAAGCCATTATTTTCTTTCGATTCATGCGGTTTCTTTTAGTGTTATTCCCCCTATTCGCGGTATCGAATTCATTTAAAGTACGTGTACGATTTCTATTGTTTACATCACGTTCTACGGACTGTAATTTAGAACGGTTCATTGCTTGTCGGAAAAGACCGTCCAGAGTTCTGTGCAGTTCACTGTTCTCGGGGTTCCTGTCTAATAATTCCTTTACACTAGTAATCACATGTTGTTGATTAGTCTGAAATTGTAAAATTTCTGATTCCATGATGAACGGCATCATATAAGACAAACCGAGACAAATACAAAATAAAGGAATGACCCTTTTAACTACAGAGATACTCATATAGTCTTTCCAGGTCATCATAATGAAATACCCTTTCTTTTACATAAAAACCAAGATTACCAGTGAATACATTCCCCTTTTACTCTTTATATGTTTAGTTAAAGACGTTTCTGTATCAAATAACAGAGCTAGACGATTATCGTGCGACGGTAACCTGACGTAATGAAATATAAATTGGATAGTTCAAGATTTTACATTTTAAATCATTTTTATGGATATTATTTAACTGCAGTTTTTCTATACACATCTTTTCCTAATCCAACGTTTAAACAGATTGGTTATCGATGTAATAGCTTTATTTACGTTTCGGCCTAATATTAATCTATTATCAAAATAACAGTAATGGTATCTTTTTTATTTCTTCTTTATATTTCAAACCCGTTACTTAAGGAGTATTTTTATGCATATTTTCACAAATAAGTGTCAACTGTTATTTCAATTACTGTGTTTGCTCAAACGATAATGAAACTTACTAAAAGTCAAATCATTTACAGAAAAGATTGCAATCTTTATTTGCAGATCTGACCTTTTCGCTCCTAGTCCACATAAATGAAATACACATGAATGCGAAGTCAAACCACTTTCATTATATTTACATGCTTAATGTTTAAAACTTTCTAAATCTTCATCAATCAATGTGAGCTGAATTCAGATAGGCAAAAAGTGATTCGCCAGATATGTTGCTTTTTATTGTCTTCCGTTACATAATAAGACATTAATTCAATGCATACATGTACTTGCGATAATACGCATGTGGCAATTTGGTTTATACATGGTTAGAGCTTCCTATGGATATTGGCAAAATACAATTAACTCAGATGGCTTAAAGATCTTAAAGGATGTGACATATTTTGTTGATGTTGTGTTTAGTTTTATTTATACTCGGACGGCGCTTGAATGAACCATATGTCCAAGAATTTTACCGTCCATGCCGGTCCACTGTAGTAGTCTCATCGGGGTTGTCTTTTCAAGCCCAGTCTTCTGTAACCATTTCTTCGTTCCTTGGCGGTTGGAGGAGGTACGACAATACTGCCTGTGTCGGCAACATAACAAAAACGGCCACCCTCCCAGAGTTCGTCGCATGCATGTATATTATACATGTATAATTGTTCTTCTTAAACAGTTTCCAAAAATATGTAAGTATATACAGCAAATGGTTATATACATTATAGTTTAACGTTAAAATTAATGCATTCATTTCAATTGAAAAACAAACTGGATTATACTTTATCAAAAATAAATTTCTAATTATCTCCTTAATTTTATTTGCATGAAATGTTAAATTCGGCAATATATTTACAAATCACGCTATTTGAAACTAACAATATTGATTAATCTCCATTTGAACATCAGATTTATGATATAAAACCATACAAAACGTGCGTTACAGGGTTTTAAAGAAACATATAAAAATGTCCATAATTGTGAAATAACGTGATGACTACGGAATGCGTTAGAGCCATCATGGTTATACATTATAATTCAGAGGTGAACAATGCGACAGTGCAATGATGACAATACGATAGTGCAATGACGATAACGCGATAACCAGTGTGATGTCGACAATATGAAAGTGCAATAATACTACTGCATTGTCGCCATTGCAGTAACTTACTGTTGCCATATCATTATCGCACTAAAAAATTGGTTTGCGACCAGCATGGATCCAGACCAGCCTGCGCAACCGCGCAGTCTGATCAGGATCCATGCTGTTCGCTGTCAGTTTCTCTACTTGTTATTGGGTTTGTAAGCCAACAGCATGGATCCTGATCAGACTGCGCGGATGCGCAAGCTGGTCTGGATTCATGCTGGTCGCAAACGCATTACGTTGGTTTTGTCGTGACGCGGCTCATATTATTATTCACTATCTCCCATGACCACAACTCCATCTGACATGGTCAGTGATTAACTCATTTCCTCCCTTGCCCAGTAGAGAGCTTTAAACAGTATTCAGTAAAACTGTTTTCAGTTTTAACCCTAATATAACCCGAAAGTGATCATCCTTTGTATAGAGCTAGGTCAGCCTGTACATCTGTGCAGTCAGACAAGGCTCTTTACTGTTGGCAACTCAATTTTGTATGACAATACCGATTTTTTTTTCAAATAAACTGTTCAAATTTGAAGTAGAGTGAATTCATTACACAAAATCAGCAGAAAAAGCAAGAAGACAATAACATAGTTTTATAAATTCTAACATGGCAGGTCCGTCACAGTATGACTGTGTTTTTTTTTGTAAGCCAAGGTGAGAATAATATATTCCATTTAAAGCTATACAGTGACTATGCTCTTTTTGTTTGTAAAATATTTTTATCTCAGAAATTCATTGAAATCTATGAAATTCTTACTGAATATGTCTAATTTGGATAAAAAAATAAATAAACTATGCGAGCCGCGTCACAACAAAACCAACGTAATGCGTTTGCTCAGGCATGGATCCAGACAAGCCTGCGCATCCGCTTTGTGTGAAGTCAAAACATTATTATTTTATATTTACAGAGTTATCAATGTTATGTAATATCAAATGTTAGCATAGTTTATTTGATTATTGTATGTTATTCAGGCCTGGGCTAAAAAAATATAAAACAAGATTTTTGATGAAAATGCTTTATTAAATTCTTACTTGAATATACCTTAAAGCAGCATGCCTCCAGATGAACCAAAATATTTCAATTAAATCAAACTTGAGAAAAAAGCACTGAGATTCTAAGAAAAGTACAATGATTTAAGATACATGTGTGAATTATAACCGATTTTGCAGTATTTTTTACCATATTCTTCTGCGTTACTAACACATATGGGGCTATTTTTGCATATTTTAACCTCTTTTAGGTAAATTACATGGGTTATAAGTGCTGTTTGCAATGTGATATTATTTCTTTTTTGTTCACTTAACAAAACATTAAATTTTGTACTTTACTTTTAAATGCATTTCAAAAAAAAAAAATCATGAAAATAAGCATGAATCTGGAGCCATGCTGCTTTAACAGCTACACAATATTTACATCTATCAGTAGCACAACGTATATTGTAGTTACAATAATCTCAATAAATTTCAATAATTCTCATGACAAGAAAATGCTAAGTAATAGCTTAAACTGTTAAAGGCTTTAACAAATAATTTAAGAAAAATTCATTGTAATTAGTGGATTTAGATAGTACAAAAATGTAGTAGATTTCATATAATCCATTTCAATATGACAGTTGGAGAAATATTACCCATGTAAGTCCATTAAATCATTTTGGATTCTTTATTCATATACAATGTATTCCAAAGTTAAAAAAGCACTGGAAACAAGCATTAGACTATAAATTATAATGACAAAGCAATTCAGTTTCTCTTTAGTAATATCTGAACAATCAAAAAGTCTTATTTTCCAATAAGTAAGTTTTCAATATAAAAAAAATAGTTTCAATTGAACTAGACTAGTTCAGATACTGTATAAGTGGATATTTATGCGTCACAAAAATTTTGCAAATGTCAAAAAGTGGACTTTTTGCGTGCAGAAATATTTGCAAAAATATGATGTCTTGAATTTAATAATGTTTTTGTGATTTCATTAATTAAGCAGGTGCATGTTAAGACTATGCCGTTATTGTAATTGTTCTATTCAGTTGTTTATACCTTTATTATTCATAAAATTGTTTGAAATATACATTGTTAGTTTGATTAAGGACACACATTTCTTTGTCACAATTTGAAACATTCTTTTGTTATATGAATACCCTATTGTGTTATTAACACATTTATTGTTTCATAAAAACATTGGTGATTTGTTAAGACCAAACTCAAACAAACAAGTAATGAGAAAAATTAATCTCGGTACCCTAACAGTCAAACTTATTCATGTAAGATGCTTTATGAAAACGTGTTTTCAAATGATAGAAAAAAGTTTGCCTAAAAGGAAATAATTTTTGCGTGATCAAATTAATATTTGCGAATAATTTCAATTCGCAAAAATCACAAATATTTCCATGTTGCAAAATTAAACACTTATACAGTAGCTGATTATAAAATAGAAAATGTCGATCTTTCTAAAAAATATCAGTTTTGAGTTAACAAGGCTATAATTATAATGAAAAAAAATTGTTAAACCATGGAACATGAATAAAATACAAATGGAAGTTACAAACAAGAAACAAACTTATGTGAATTACAAAAGAAATATGAATCAGTAAAAACAACATGAAACAAACATGAATCAAAATGTTAACAATATGAATAAAAATATGCTACAATGAAAACAACATGAATCTATGTAAAAAATGTATGAAATATGAATCCATGTAGACAAAATTTAACAAAAATGTTTAAAAATTAAACAATATGAATAAATGAATAAAATATGGATCAAAGTAAACAACATGAAACAAACATGAACCAATGTTAACAATATGAACTAGAACTGCCACTATCTTGGCGTGAATACCCCCGCATACCACTTTGTCAGAATCAACAGTGGCCATTTAGAGCGCAAGGACAACCTCCCTGCCAAATCTGAGGTTACTAAGCCAGTGCATTGCTAAGTTATGTATTCTACATGCTTCAAATGTGAAAATGTCAAAATCAATACATTGCAGACAGGACATTCTTTAGCAATTGAGAAGAAAAGCTTTTTTTTTTGTCAAGGTCCCTGTGACCTTGAACTTTGACCCAGTGACCTCAAAATCAATAGGGGTCACCTTATAGTCATGATCAACATCCATGCCAAATTTGAAGACTGTGGGTCAAAGGAATCTTAAGTTATTGGGCGGACAAGCTTTTTGAAGTCAAGGCCCCTGTGACCTTGACCTTTGACCTAGTGACCTCAAAATCAATAGGGGTCATCTACTAATCATGACTAACCTCCATGCCAAATATGACGACTGTAGGTCAAAGGAATCTTAAGTTATTGGGCGGACAAGCTTTTTGAAGTCAAGGCCCCTGT